CCCCATATCGAACCCCGAACAACGATTAACTGAAGTCAACCAGGAAGCGAGAAATATTGGAATGCCATCGAGTTCAGTGACTATTGAAGCTAAGAAACGGACTGTTTGGGTGGGAGTGGGTGGGGGGGAGCCTGGGCTATAAATACAGAAGCCAGTAGCATGTTGTGAATCGCTGACATTTTTCCTATGCTCAGAAATGGAAGGTGTATTAAAAGATTTCTACAAGATTGTTGATTAAGGGACGACGAGAGTTATCCTTTCAGGCAGTCTGCAATTAGCTTCAACTGTTTGGGGGAAAAAAAATTGGCAGATGCTGCCGTCACTCAGTGCTCAGTGAAAGCACCCGAACAAAAAGGACTTGGCCACACAGTTTGGATTACAGGATCCGATTACCAGATCTTGATCCAATAATCATAACGTTGGTCTTCATTTCTATTATTCAACACTTAAAGCCTTTGTCCAAAGATCTCAGAAAGGGAACAAGCTGGACTAGTGTCAAAGTCTATTTCTGTGGGTCCTATTTACATTATTCCACCTCTCTGTAATTCCATATGGAATACAGTTCCATACACTTCTTCTGTTGCAGATGTGACTTCAATCCAAACCCTTCATCTTTGTTCTGCTGGATATTAAAAAATAGCCATTCATACGAGCGATCCAACCACCAGACATGCAACGTGTCAGCTATATTGTGAACAACAGCTGATCCTGATCCCACTGCTATAACTGAGCCTCCTTCATTAACCCTTGGAGTTCCAATGGTGAGTGAAAACATTTATGCACAGCAATTGCGTATGATTTTGCTTTTAATTTTGTGCCCCTCATGTCGGGTGTAGTTCTCAAAGTGCTTCATAGTGCCACGGGATCTTTGGGTGTCTACCTGAACAGGCAGACAGGACCTCGGTTTAATGTCTCATCCAAAATGCAGCACCGACGACAATGCAGCTTGCCTGCAACCCTGCACTGGTGTGTACGAAGAAGCCGATTCACGCATTTCTGCGATTGATATTGAGACACGAGAGAGAGAAACCAGATACAGACCGACCAACCCGTCTGCTGTCAGCTCTCTCAGGTAACCTTGCTGGGTACCAGACCAGGTAGCAGATTAAGCCTGCACAAAACAGCCATGCTTTAGAACAAGCACTAGTCTTGTTCTAACAAGCACTTAGACGCTTTGAGACGTCTAGAAGGCGTGATAAGGCGCTGTATCAAATGCAAGGATTGTTATTATTATTATTATTATTGTCAACATGTCCTGAACAGTTACGTTCCCTCACAGCCCTCTGCATTCTTTCTTGCACAGCCTACGTACGAGAGACTTTGAATCACAGCTCTTCGACCACCATTCCGCACAGTGTTAGCTATTAGCTGCTGGGGTCTTCTCCCCGACCGGATAATGTAACAGACGCTTATGTGCAAATACAAATTGCTGCTGTGACATGTCACCAGCTGCCTCTCTTCACTGCTGCTCTCTCACTGATTATCTATGGAACCGTCAATACAAGTACCACTATTTTAATCCTACACTCACAGTTTTAATCCTTTACTCTCTGCACCCGAGAGCGAAAGAATGTTCCCAGCCAATTATATACGTGCCGGCTTTAATTTTACTGCCGACATTTCTACCGGGTTCAAATGTTTGCTGAACATATGTATCTGGGTTAATATTTAAAAGCATTACCATATTTAGATGCGTTTCACTGCAACAGCCCAGGTAATCTTAACACAGAATTCCACACTGACGTGGATTTGGATTCGCCCGGCTTATTGCCGAGAATTACTCACAATGTTTCACGAGGAATTTAAATGTTTAATGCAGCTGGGGGGGCTGGTGATATGAATGGACCAAGATACGCAAAGCAGCAGATGTCTAATAATGAGCTGCATGCTTTCAGTATTTCCAGGCATCTGTGTCAGTCTGACCCGCCCTCTCTCCCCTCCCCTCCCCTCCCACATTCTGGTGCTCTTTGCTAAGAATGCATCTTTGAGTGTAATTCAGCAGGTTTGCGCTTTCAACATCTGGAGCCACACACCGGGGGTTTGGAGCAGTGCTGACACACGTCGTCAAATAATAATAATCCTTGCATTTGGTGGAGTGGCTTTTCAGTTCGGAAACACGTCTCAAAAGCGTTTCACGGGACATACTGTGAATTAAACAATAATAATAATCCTTACATTTGATATAGCGCCTTATCACGTCTTATAGATGTCACGGAAATGAAGTGACTGGGTATATATAGGTAACGCGGCAGGACAATTATGCACAGCAAAGTCCCACAAACCGCCATGGAGGGAGTGACCAATTCTATTTGGGGGATTTGTTAATCAGGACACCAGGAGAAACTCCCTTCTTTTTTTAAATAATGCCATTGGATCTTCAACGTGCACCTAAACAGGCAGACAGGTTCTTGGTTTGTCTCATCCGAAGGACAGCACCTCCGACAATGCAACACACAACCCCAAGCTCTGTATTGGAGGGTCAGCTTTAGTGAGTTCAAGTCCCGATGTGTAATTTAAACCCACAACCTTCTGACTCAGAGACACTGAGCCAAGCTGACAAATCTCAGGAAAACTTAATGTACCGGCTCGTCAAAATGTCTGTATTATCCATTATTTCCACAAGTTGTATGTGTGTGTGTGTCAGAATGGCTCGGTTGGTAGAACACTCGCCTCTGAGTCAGAAGGTTGTGGCTTCAAACCCCACGTCAGGACTTTGTACTTGTTTTGTCTGGGCTGACACTCAAATGAGGTCTTGAGCGTGCGCTGCATTATCGGGGGTGGTGTTATAAACCAGAGTCTGTCTGTTCAGGTTCACACAAAGTTCCCACCCCACTCTTCAAAAAGAGTTTTTCCCCAGTGTCCTGGCCAACAATTTTTAAACTCACTTGATGGACATTGTGGGACATTCCGGTGCAAAAATGGGCTGCAACGTTCACCTACAAAATGCATAGTCACTGCACTTTGCAGTGAATCCTGTGAAGCACTTTTAAGACATCCTCCGAACGTGAAAGGCACTGTATCAAACGCAAGGATTATTAAGTTGAGTTCAACTTCAGCTGTTTCCCATTTACTTCTGTTCAGTTGTATGGACCAAGCCTTTGGATGCGGATAAAGTAATGGTTTTGAGTGGCACAGTAGCCATGTGTTTTAGAACAAAGAAGTGGAGCAATTGTAAGCCTCCCCACCCCCACCTCACACACACACACACACTCGCTGAAAACACTTAACTAGGATTCTGTTGCAACATGTGAAAATTTTATTGTTTAAAACAAAATAAGTGGTTACTGATGTTTAGCTCGCGATTATCCTCACTGCTCCCGGGAGCAGTTACTTCAAAGTATGAATGCGCTGTTCTGTCCCACTGTTTTCCTCAATTTTTCTGAACTCTGCCCCCGATATTGAGCTCAACTGCCTCCCTGCAGTATCACAGTGAAAACTACTTGAGAAAAGACACCACTTATCAGGGGCAGATGTTTTGTTTAAAGCTTGCGCTCTAATTCCGCACTGAAAGAGCATAGTGGAAGCGGTTGCTAACAAGAATTATTTCCCATTACCTGCATTTCCCAGTGGGCACATTCACTCCCCACAGACACAGGCTGTAGAGATCAGGCATTACCCTACGCCTATCTTTCGATGATAAGTCGGAAGTCATTTCACATTGAAATGTATATGAGAAGTTCGCTCACAACTGCAACATGGCAGTTAAGAATAAATGAAGATTATACATTAACAGTTTACAACCAAAACTAACCACTACTCTACACAGATATCAAAGGTTTACATTAACGCAGCTGTACCACGGCACTAACTTCTGTTTTTTATTAGCACGTGTGTCAATTGGAAGAGACGATTTGCTCAGCTTCCAAATAACGCTTTAAGAAAAACATTCGTCATATCTCAAAGTGCTTCACAATTACTGTTACATGTTTATTCGCTTACCCACAAAACACACAGTCGCTGCACTTTATAGTGTATCCTGTGAAGCACTTTGGATGACCTCCCGATGTGAAAAGCGCAATACAAAATGTAGGCTTTATTATCAGGTATGCAAAGCTGCAGCTATTAAAGTCCCCTAAGCAGCCAGGAGTTTAATGATCAATGCTATCAATGGCAAGCCATGCGGTTTTAGCTTGTTAGCCTTGGGATGTCCTACCCGGCGATGGCCTCCCGACGTGAGAGGCGCTATACGAATGTAATTTGTTGTTGTTGTTGGTTAAACTCCAGCAGTACCTCAACGCACACTCTAGGGTCCCCAAGTCTTGGCTCTTGCCAATCTGCGCTTAATACTTTCTGGAATTAGGTGAGCAGGATGTGTCCATCCAGCAGGAGAGTGCGCATTCCATTACAACAATCTATCTGGAATTTCCACGCGTAGATGGGATACATGGAAATCTCAGCTTGGTTCGGATACTCTCTAACGACAACAAAATTACATTTGTACAGCGCCTTTCATGTCAGGAGGACGTCCCAAGGCGCCTGATGGTGATAGGATTCTGCATGTGTCAGACATTACTACATATAAATGATAATATAATAATAATAATATGGTCACTCAATCCACGACTGTTTGTGTGGGACGCTGCTGTGTGCAATTGGCTGTCGCGTTTCACCCACAAAATATATAGTCAATTCAGTTTATCATATATTCTGCGAGACGTTTCAAAGACGTGATAAGGCGGCTCACTCTGGGAAAGGCAGAAGTTTGAGGACATAAACCCAGGCCCCGCATTAAAACGGGGCACACTAAAAACAAAGGACAATGCTTCCAGGTTATCAGGTCATCAACAACGTCAGTTCCTGCACATTGAACGTACACACACAGGGCCAAGCGGTCACCACCAGGAACAGAGGAACAGGACGTTCCTGGATGCCACAGGTCCACTGTGCGGCTGGCTACGCTTTAGATGCAGGCCCACTCTGTGCTGAAGTGTGTTATAAAGGGGTCAGTCTGTATAAAGCCATCTCACTTAACACTTTACAAATCTTCTGTTTCATCTTACCACAATCCCGGAATTTCTCCTGGAGGCAACAGGTGTAGAAGGATAGGAGTTGAGGGATGAGCTGGCGTTCAAGTCTTCGGAGCTGAGGTTATCAGAGGTATCGCTGAGCCCACTGCTCACAGAACTGCTCTCGTCCCAGCTGCAACAACACAAGTGAACAGTAAGTTACAAAGAGTAAAAAAAAATCGACACTGCACGATATCAAGAAGCACAAAATAAATACACAATAACGTTGCAACATCTCGCAAAAAATTAATCAAGCGAGATACAGTAAAACTTGCATAATTCTGAGCTATATAAATCATAAAATAGCCTAAGTCTTACGTCTGCCCAATTCCCGTTCAAGAGTTTAAATTCTATGCAAGATTGACATAAATTATACTTTGCATAAGTCAGATTAAATGTATTGTCCCGACTGATAGAACTTATGTGAGGTTTACTGCACTCCAATGCAAACACTGAAGCTGTCAAACTGTATGTGGCACTAAATATTGCAGTGGACAACATAAAATGTAAACCAGTTAGCGTAGAATCTCTCGCTGGGTCTCCTAAATCACCGATAAATAACACAAACGTACAGTAAGCTGGGTGTGCAGTCATCAGTTTTGTTACCTAAAGTATATTTCAACTCCATCCAATGCTAGAGTGCTCTTTAGATGAGCAGTTTCCACTGCTACATTCAGCCACTGCTCTAAATGAACAGTAACCCACACCAATACTGTGTGTAAAAAAAGACGCAACTACTGGACATAAATATGTAACTGTATTAAGTAACAAGTCTTTCTCTGGAGACCCAGGTTTAAAAGCACATTGGACTCAATTTTCTTTTCCTGGTGTTGTTGCTAATCTTGCCATAAACCTTGCGGTATTACACACTCCGCAGATCATATTTCCACTGAGGTCCAAACTTGAGATTTTCCTCCCATTTGAGCAAACATTGCACTTTGGGCATTTTCAAGCGTACAAACCAACAGTGGAGACACTGGTGCCCATGACAAAAGACTAGTGGGTTTGCAGATGTGTGATGAGAAAGTACTATCCCCCCCTCCCCCCCCCCACCCCCCACCGAGACTTGATTTACTCTATTTAAGTAGCGTTTCAGAGTGTCAAAAAATTAATGTCAAAGAAGTATGTCTTCGGGTGGGAATTCGAAGCAGAGAGAGGCAAGGTGGACGGAGGAGGCAAGGTAGAGGGGTTTGGGGAAGGAAGGTCTAGGTGGAGATGGCAAAGTGGTTGGAAGCTCCACCACTGATGGTGGAGTGGGGTGGGACAAGTGTGGGAGAATGTTCTTCTCCATTTGGAACACATCCCTATCTGCCACTTGTGTGTCATTTTCTCCCCCTAAACTGCATTTGCCATAATTTTGCTCATTGGACACCCACAGTGCCAACCCTTCTCTTTTGCCAGTTGCCAACACACTCACTTTACAGTTGCAACAGTTTTTGTTTCTATTTGAAAGTAAATGGAAACAAATAATAATAATAATAATAATAATCCTTGCATTTTGATATAGCGCTTTTCACGTCGGGAGGACGTCCCAAAGCGCTTCACAGAATATACTGTAAAGTGAATTGACTGTATATTTGTGGGCGAACGCGGCAGCCAATTGCGCACAGCAATGTCCCACAAACAGTCGTAGATTGAAAATGACCAATTTATTATTGTTTTTGGGGTTTTTTGGAGGGATTATTGTTTTTTGTTTGGGGAAAAAAATACATACAATATGTTAAAACTGAAACTTTTCCATAGTCTCACCTCACCCTACCTCCGCAGACTCCCTCAACCTTCCCAACCCAGCCACTCCCTTCTATCATTGGACTTCACGTCCCCCCCACCCAATTCATACCATCGTCAGCGTGTGGGCTTCCAGTCATCATGCCCCCTCACCCCACCCTCTCCCTGGTACTGCATCCCAGAGTCCTTGACACTCCCTCCCTCCCTTCTTTCAAGACAGGTCTCAAAACCAACCTCTTCAACGGCATTTGTGGTCATCTTCCCGTCTCCCCCCCCACTCCCAACTACCAAGCTCGAGTGCCCAACCAGCACCGTGAGGCGCTTTGAGACGTCCTCCCAATATGAAAGGCGCTACTTAAATGTCAATTGTTATTGCTACAACTTTCCACAGCAGAAGTCCTGAGTATAATGAGAACTTGCATCCCCCCCTCCTCTATGTAGTATCCGTTAGGGATACAGTAATGAATTTTATAAGAAAAGGGATAGGTGGAAAACAAACGTGTTTAATCTGCACATTCCCCTACCCTCCCCTTTTACGATAATAAAATAAATCCTCGGGAGATTCATAAAGACCCTTAGTTTGAGCTGGAGGTTAAACTAGACCGTTGGAATTGCACACGATAAGTAGCCCTAAAGAAGCTTAAACTTGTAGATAGAAATAAGGAATGATCATGACAGTGCTACCTGCCCCCACCTCTGCTGGCAACTGTCAACATTAAGTGGGCAAAGCCAAAGATTTGCCTGCTTAAGGTGGCACGAACAGTCCAGCTACTGGTTTGCTACTGCTGTAATTACCTATCCCAATTACGTGCAACCAAACACTCTCGTTAAGTGAGCAAAAACTATTATGCTGTATGCCAACTCTCTCTCCCCCTCCCTCCCTCCCCCACCATCCATCCCAGCAACAGAGTATGTTAAATTACACTGGATTAGGAAGTGTTCGGTACTAAAACGTTTCCTGTTAAATTTATAGCACTTGTGGTAATATTGTAAATTTAAACCATACACTGTGCGCCAGTAATCAAGGCAGGCAACATTCTGTTTCAGAGGCAATGTTCTACAATGGAGAGAAGGGCAGGTATTGAACTGCGAAGAATCTTTCCCGATGAAATGTAAACTCTAATCTGTTGCTAGAAACAAAGGTTCACGCAGCAATACAATGTCCGCAGCATTAAAATAATAAATATCTTTTTACATCTGATGTAGTGGCCTTCAAATCAAAGCGCTTCACAGGGTTTATGTAAATGTCACCACGGAGTGGTTCCGAATTGCGATGCCGTTTAACAACAACAATAAATTGCATTTATATTGCGTGTTTCGCATCGGGAGGACGTTTAAACCAATCCTAGGATTTCTTACAACCAACCAGTGAAAAAAATGTCTTACAACCAGAGCACAATGAAGCTTCACAGCAATCGCATTCAGTGTAAACAGAAATGAAAATCTAATTGCTCGGGGACAGAATTAGAATGAAATCTATTTATATTTACAATCAAACAGCAAAGTTGCAAGACTGTGCGTTGTGTCCAGTGTAAGACTAAATCACCATCTCGTCTGTTGAAATTATAGGGAAGAGCAGGATTTATAGCAGCAGATGTCCTTAACCGTAGACAAGCCCCCGGAAAGACAGGATGGGCCTGGAGCCATTTGCGTGACAGCTGCACAGTGTACAGTTCATATAATTTTACAGCATACCTGATAACGATGCCCTTATTCTACTGTCTGTCATTTAAAAAAATGGGGGTTAAAAAAAGGTCAAAATTCTTTACGGTTCAATACTTAAGTAGGTCAGACATCGCTGAAGCAAGACAAGACTTGATTTTTTTTCTGGGAATAAAGTTGCAATTGAATTTGTTTCCCTAAATGAAATAATAAAAAAATGTAACTTGCAGCTAAGTTTCCTTGTCTTCGTTTAAGTAGGTAAACTGGATTAGACAGTGAAGGCCTGTTAGAGTAGACTGATCCAATACAATTCAATTTACATTTATATAGCGCCTTTCACGTCGGGAGGACATCTCAACGCCATTTATTTTTGCTAATGCAAATTTGTGAGCGTATGCTTGTGTATAGACATATACTTAATATATATTACCGTATCATAATACCAGTGGTTTGACCACCCAGTATAACACACTCATACTGACTCACGTGTGGTTCTGAGCTCCATTTACTCATTGTTAAAATATAACCACACTATTACCTGCATCATATCCTGTCTACACCACAGAAAGCAAATGGACAACTCCGCTTTAAATTGTCTGGACACTAAATGGCCCAAATCTGGCCAACGTCTACACACTCCAATGCAGGGAATATGGCCTAAAATCATAACCAGCGCTATAACGGGAGGGAGGGGGTGGGAGGGGGTGGGAGGAGGGGCAGTGGCTGGGCAGTGGTTCCGTGTTCAACAGCAACAACATCAACAACTTGCGTTTATATAGCGTCCGGGAGCTTGTACCCGCAGCAAGGCGGGTGAAGCCAAAATGGCCGACTTTCACGCCATCAGGTTGCTGCCGACATCACGAAGCACCGCTCAGAATACGACGTCAGCAACCCGGAAGTCGACCATTTTTCAGCGCGCGGAAGCCAAACTGGCTCGACTCCGGGGTGTCACGTCGCTGTTCCCGTTGTCAGGCAAGATGAACGTCTTGAAAGAAACATTGCCTGGAGGGGTTCAAGTGGATGCGCTCGCGAACTCCACCGTGGCAATTGCTACATGGGCAAACCATGGGTTAAAAGTGACAGCTCGCATTTCAACAGGACATCGTTGTTAGATTATTTTGCTTGGAAAGGTTTTCAAGAGAAGATGTGATTTTCTTTTAGCAGCATTGTTTCACAATTTCCTTTACAAATTAGTCTCAATTATCTGAATAATCACATGGTTCAGCAATCTGATGTGAATTATTGTACCACAGCATTAAGATCATATGGCAAATGCAAATTTCCTCTCGTTCCTTATATCCTCTTGTTCTCATGGCTGTTTTGGGGGCATTGCTGTACACCAACTGGTTGTTGCATTCGCCTACAAATTCAGTCACTTACACTCCTTCACAGCAAATCCTGTGAAGCGGTTTAAATGCCATCACACATCAACTAATCAATGTTGTGAAATTCTTTCTTGCTCAATACAAATGAGGGGAAGATTCTATCAGTTTTTCAATGCTTATGATTTAACAAAAGTTGAATGTCCTTTTTATTTTACAGTGATGTTTCTCTTCCAACATCCTCTCAGCAGGTCCTGAACATTGACCTTTCTTGTGACCTCAGATTGACGCTATGCATCTTCCCTCAAGATATTCCAGATGGTGTGTCACCAGCAGTTTGACCTGAAACACTTTACAGTAAAGTCACCATATTCAGAACACGCATAGTTCTCACTGGATAATAATCAAAATAATACTTTCA